TCTAGTGCCACCCAGCCTGGTGGCCCTCTGCCATAGCGCCCCACACGTGGCTTTGTTCTGTGGCTCCTTTTTGTGCACTGGGCTGTGGTTTCTGGGTGCCCAGGGAGCACCCACATTCCCCAGAACCAACAGCATCACAGACCCAGGGTCCAGGGCTAGGGGCAGGCGGCTGTGGCCCAGCGCTCCCCACCCTCTGATGGCGTTAGGGGACTGGGTTCCCTGCCTTTCCGAGGCCTCCTGGGGTCTGCAGAGACTGCCTGGCCAGGGCTGGCTCCCAGTGGGATATGCCCCGGATCCGCAGACTGCCCATACACAGGGTTTCTCCCCAGGATGAGCTGCTGTTCCCCAGCTGGGAAGCTCTGTTCTCGGGCTCTGAAGGCCTGCTGAAGCCCGGGGCACGCATCTTCTCCTTTGATGGCAAGGACGTCCTGAGGCACCCCACCTGGTAGGTCCCCCTTGCCACGCCAGCAGCTCGAGAGCCCCCGTGAGGGTGGGCGCACACGCTCCCAGTGCAGTTCACCCTGTGTGTGAGCATATCTGAGCCGTGCTCAGTGCTGAAAAATTAAAAAATCCAAGAGTGTCTAGAAAAACGAAAACTGCTGTTTGAGAGGTCATCGTTAGCCATTCTAAGAACGCCCTTAAGTGCCCTGTTCCTCTGCCCGTAGCTGACAGACTCCGCGTCTCCCGGGCTGGCACTGAGCCTGTGGTCAGCCACGTAAGCTCTATAGTGAGTTTATTCTCCAAGAATAAACTTGAAGGGCAACAGAGTCCAAGCATATGTGCCCTTAAAATGTTGACCGAAATCTCCCATGTCCTGAAGGCTTCACCCCAAATGTCCCTGTGCCCTCGCTGTGTGAGGGCTCTGATTCCTCCAACACTCGTGCTTTTCGGGGCGTCTTGGGGCACGGCACAGCGTGTCCCATGCGGTGCCTGGCCATCTGCTGTGGCGGATATGAAGCTGCCAAGGGTCTCTGATGGGAGCACTGTGGGTCGGGCTGGGCCCCGGGGCTGCCTGGCAGCCAGGAGCTGGCGGGCGGAGCTGGTTCCTAGCGAGGCAGCCCCAGGAGGCCATTGCCCAGCAGGCATGAGGGCCAGGTCTACCAGCACCCCGAGCCCTGGCCCCTCTGCCCTCTGCCGTGGGTGTGTCTGGAAGCGTGGGGTGCAGTCTGGGAGATGCAGCCCCCTCCACAGGCAGCTGGCTGGGGGGCCACGTGGCCCTCCAGACTGTGGGCGCCTCTGTGGCCCCCTAGCATCCCTGGTGCCGGCCTCCTGCCTCCACCTTCCCTGCCCCAGGGGGGTGGCCTCTGCCCTGAGCGCAGTAGGTCTGGCTGTGGCTGGTGGCCTGGCTTGTTTTACAGGCCCCAGAAGAGCGTGTGGCACGGCTCGGACCCCAGCGGGCGCAGGCTGACCGAGAGCTACTGTGAGACGTGGCGGACCGATGCCCCTTCGGTCACAGGCCAGGCTTCCTCGCTGCTGGGCGGCAGGCTCCTGGGGCAGAACGCTGCCAGCTGCCATCACGCCTACGTTGTGCTCTGCGTCGAGAACAGCTTCATGACTGCCTCCAAGTAGCCGCTGCCTGGATGCGGAGGCTGGAGAGGATGGGCCTGGAGGGACCCGCACTGCTGGCAGGGAGCGGCCGGCCAGCCCCCGCCCCAGGACCTGGCTGGCACACTTTCCTGTATAGTTCACGTGTCATATAATCCTCCAGAAATAAAAGGAAGCCAAAGAGTGTATTTTTTAAAAAGTTTAAAAAAGAAGCCTGATGCTAAGACGCTCGCCTGCCCCAGCCCTGCCCTGACCTATGAGCTCGGCGGGCACGACCTGATGGTGCAGCCTGCGTCAGGCAGGGTGGGGCATCGTGCCCTGTGCAGCCTCTCAGCCTGAACCAGACCACAGCTTGATTTCGGCGGGCGGCCAACCCCGACTTCCTGCTCTGGGAAGCTGTGTTCGCCCCGGCGGGCACTGACTTCATCTCCCACCCAGACCTTCTGTGCACAAGACTCAGACCTGTCAGCAGGTGGGTCCCGTGAGGCAATGGGGGCTTCACCATACTCAGCACAGGGCCACCTGCCCCTCCAGGCTGTGCACCCACCCCGAGGTGGACGGGAGGGTGACTCAGGTGCCTGGGGATGGGGGCAGCCCCTTCTGCTCAGCTCTGGGCCGTTCTCGACAGCAACCCCAGGCTGGAGCAGATTTTCAAGCTTAGAGGCCCACTGTGACCCCCGGCTCTGGCCCGTCTTCCACCACGCACAGGAGCCTGGAGCTGGCCCTGACATGGGGGCCTGTCTTCAGGCCTGTCTGTCCTATGCTGGCCTCCCAAATCAGCCATGAGATACATCCAGAGCAGAGAGCTCCACCCTGGCAGAGTCCAAGCTGGGAGCTTCGAGGGACCCATGAGTCGGGGTGTGGCAGCCTCCCATCCAGGGCCCCCATCCCATGCCCAGCATCCGTCTTCCAAAGTGTGCGTGCCCAGCGCTGCCTCCGGCCCAAGCTGAGCCCACCCTCCATTTCCTGCCGCAGAACTGCTGGGGTTCTGAGTCTACCTGGACAGGGCTCTGAAAATCACAGGGACCCCTCGGCCAGGACGTGGCTCTGCCACACTGTCCAGCCAAGAGCCAAGACAGAACAAGGCCACGTTGAAGAGGCTGAGGCTGGCACAGGACATATCAAGGCCAGTGCACAGGGCCATTGGGGAGGGTGGTCGTCTGGGCGCCACCATGGGCAGGCTGGCCTCAGGTGTGGGGCAGTCCCTGTCTGCTAGGAAGCCTGCACCCTTGCCTTCCTCGGGACTGAAAGGGACCCCTGAGGTGCACACAGGCTGCCCTGTGGATGAGCAGAGCAGCCACGAGGTTCGATGACGTCCTCTGTTGCCGTCACCCCCGAGATCCGGCAGCATCAACACAAGTCACTTGTTCTGTGCAGGGATGAGTGGGCTCAGGGCAGCGCCAGGCTGACCAGGGCACGGCCAGCACGCACCTGCCTCCAGACAGACAAAACCTGCGGAGCGGGTTCTGTGACTGATGTGAAGCCAGTCCAGACAGGCAAATAAAAGTGACCTTTTACACTGACACTTGGTTTGCAAGCAGCCGTCACTGTCACAAGAGCAAACTTCTCCAAAACAAGTCCCAGGAGGCTTTTAGACCTGGAATGCCTCACTGGTAGATCCTGAGGGAGGACGAGTGTGCACGGGTACACGCATGTACCCACAGGCGTGCATGGTGACGTGGGGCATGCAGGCATGGACATACAGGCGTGCAGGGTTACATGGGGTATGCATGCAGAGACATTACACACAGGTGTGCTTGGGCATACACGATGTGCAGGCATGCCTGGGCATACACAGGTGAGCCTGGACATACACACACAGGTATACAGTTATACAGAGATGTGCTGGAGCATACACAGGTGAGCTTGGACATAGGTGTTCAGTTACACACAGGTGTGCTGGAGCATATACAGGTGAGCTTGGACATACACAGGTGTACAGTTATACACAGGTGTGCCTGGGCATACACAGGTGAGCTTGGACATAGGTGTGCAGTTACACACAGGTGTGCTTGGACATACCTACACAGGTGTGCAGTTATACATGTGTGCCAGTGCATACGTGCTGTGCATAGGTACACAGGTATGCATGTGTGTGTGGACACACACTGACACGCTCAGGTCTCCCCAGCTGCCAGCTCTGACTTCAGGATCATGGGAGTGGGTCTGCACCTGGGTCCCCAGCCCCCAAACCTGTGTGCTCAGGCAGGACTTGACATGCACACCCACAGCAGGATCTGGCTTGCTCCCAGGGAACACTTCATCCTAAGCCATCTCTGTCCTGGTGGCCAGGTGAGTGCAGGGCTCAGAGCCAGGGAGGCGGTGGGTGCAGTGAGAAGGCTGTGGAGGGGGCAGGCCCTCGGGTCCAGGAGGCACTAGCGGGAGGGTGCTGATGGGTGTTTGGGCCTCTCGGTGATGCTCTGGCCCATGGCACAGGCCCAGCGCACCTCTGCCCATCACATCCTGCTAGATCCACAGCCAGGAAATGGCTGCTGCAGACCCTTCCAGCAGGGTCCCTAGGGTGGCTGTGGCAGGGCCCTGGATGCCGGGACCATGGCCCCATCTGACCAGCACCATCCGCTGACTTGGGCCATCCCGCACGTGCAGCCTCTGCCTCAACCCTCATCCCAGGGTACCCCAAGATGCCCTGCTCCCCTGAGATACCTCAGGGGACCCTTGGGCCCAGCAGCCCCTCCCCAGCCAGAGATTTTGTCCCAGCTCTCCATGCTGAGCTGGTGAGCAGACAGCCTCTCACCCGGGTGCTGCTGAGATGTGGCAGAGACCCCACAGGATAGGGCCGTGGACCAGGGTGGGGCGGGAGGCTCAGCTCACGGGCACCAATACCCCAAGTGGGCTGGTTGGGGGAGAAGGCTGGGACCCCTCTCCTGCCCTGCTCACTGACTGCTGACCCGCAAGCCCCAGGCCACCCGACCTGCAATCAGAAGCCCCGCTCACACGCATGTGACAAGTGTGTTTAATGTATCTGGGAAGAGCATTCACATCACATCAGACGGTTCCGCACCTGTGGGCAAGGCACTGACGCTCCTCAGACCCGGCGGCTGCTGAGACGCCCTTCCCCAGCGCCCAGCACGATGGCACTTGGACAACCCTGCAAACCCAGCGTGCTGATGGTCAGCGGCTGGGGACGGGTCTGGGGGGGGATGGACAGCGGCTGGGGACGGGTCTCAGCTGCAGCATCAGGGCCTGCCGTCTAAGGCCCCCCACCCCAGACAAGCCCAGCACACACCAAGGCCAGCACGTCTGCGGTGACCGGGACCCGTCCTCTCTGGGCTGGCACGAGCATAGGGAGCAGCTGAGGACCGCGGGTCAGGATTAATGCACTTTGGAAGGGCAGACGGGACCGTGGAGGGCTCTGGGCCAAAGCCCTTGGAGCTGGGGCGAGGAACCAGCTCCAAGGACCAGACCCACTGCTGCCCTCTGATGGGGACTTTCCTGCCACCAACCTGAGACAGCTTTCCCACAGAGACAGAGAAGCCCCATGCAGTTCTTCGTTCTGTCAGTTAAAAAAAAGCAGAGCATATTTCAAAAAGCAAAAGCACCAAGCATGTCACAGCTCAGCTATGCTGGGGGCTCCACGCTCCCACCCTGTCCTAGAGGGCTCACAACTTCTGTGGGGCCAGTGTCCCCTGAGCTGCTGTCTAAGGCTACTTCGCCAGCCCTGGGGGACAGAGAGGATTTGTCTCAGGCTTCCCAAGGGCGTGAGCCAATAAGGCCTGGTGGACACAGGAGCCCACCACCCACCTCTTCCAGCAACCAAAGCCAGCAGGGCACAGCACGGGGACAGCATGGCCACCCTGAGTGTCGCCAGGAGGCTGCAGCCACCACTAGAGTGCAACACAGGGCAGGGGGGAGTCCTAGGGGCCCTGCCAGCAGGACAAGCGGAGGCCCCCATGGCTAAGGCAGGCGGCCCTCGAGGTGGGGGTCACGGGGGTGCACTGAGGGCCACCTGCAAAGTTACCACAGGGCTCCCCCAGAGTCACTGGCTCACATTCTGAACGCTGACACTGAAACGACGCTGCAAACCCAGTGTGCTGATGCCAGGAGGAGGGACAGCCGGCTGGGGACATGTCTCAGCTGCAGAGTCACGGCTGGGGACAGGTCTCAGCTGCAGTCAGGGCCTGAGGCTTGGGCGGCGCCCGGAGTGTAGGCGGAAGGGGCTGGCACTAGGCTCAGGAATCCAGCCGCCTGTGGGGCCGGGGCTAGGTCGCTCTGTCTCTGCTCCCCAGAGCCCGGCCCCGTAGCCCCCAGGCCGTCTTCTGGGGAGAGCCTCGGGCTCTGGGCTGGTGGCAGGCTTCTGAGGTCCTTGTCCTGCACGCTCAGCGCCAGCGTAGCCTTCTCCTCCGCGGGACTCCTCAGGTCCTGGGCCAGGGGCAGCGGCTGGTGGCGTCCCCGCTGGCAGTGCCGCACGCCATCCAGCACGGCCCCCAGGAAGTAGATGATGGACAGGAGCAGGAAGTACACAGAGTATAACTGGAACTGGAAGGAGAGGCAGGTGAGGTGGGTGGGGAGGGCCCGGCTGGATGCTGGCCCCTCACGCCCCCACACCTGCTCCTGGGCTCTCCTTCCAGCTCAGAGGCTGACCCCGAACACTGCACAGCTGCCAGAGGCCAGGCCCGGGAGCGGGTGCCACAGTGCCCGCCACCAGACCCCCCTCCCACTACAGCCTGGTACAGGCCTAAAGTGGGGCTCCCATCACTCCCCAAGAACCCCTCGGAACCTGGCATGTGGCCTGCTTCTGCATGGCCTGCAGCATCTGCCCCAGAGGCCCCTGCTTTGTGGGGCCTGGAACCCAGCATGTGGCCTGCTTCTGCGCGGCCTGCAGCGTCTGCTCCCAAGGGCCCTGCTCTGTGGGGCCTGGTTGGTGCCAAAATATTGGCCGGGGGGACATCCATGAGGGCCAGAATGTTCCGCCTTGCAGAGCTGGGTGAGGGGAGCCACAGCAGGTGACCAGGAGCGGTCTCCAGGGCTTCACGCCCAGAGCGACCCCTCGGCAGCCTGCACACAGAGCCCATCTCCACCTCAGCGGCAGCTGTGCTGCAGTGACCAGAAGGAGCGGTGCCGGCGGTGACCACGTCTCTCTCGGTTCTCACAGCTGCCACAGGCAGGAGGGACTGGAAATGTTCCTGGGATACCAGGGAGACCTGATCACTCCTGGAGGCGCAGGGGCTCCAGGAGGCTGTGGTGCTCTCAGGACGCTGCCAGTGCTCTCAGGACGCTGCCAGCCAGAGCCCAGTGAGACCCATCCAAGACCCTTGAGGCCCCAGTCCAGGCCCGCAGGCCAGAATCCCACAGCCCAGTGGCACCGGCTCCCTTCCAGGAAAGCTGTTTTCAAAGCAAACTCAGGAAAAGGGGCTGACATGCTTCTCCCTGTTCTTCTCCTACCCAAGACACTGAGATACACACATAGGAAGACTCTGAAAATGGGAGCAGGCAGGCCGACCACCAGGGCCTGAGGAGCTGCGCCACACGGAGCTCCCTGGTGCCTTTCTTTTTGCCTCAGATATTTTGCAACTGAAGAAGGCAGCAAGCTGGAAATGCCAACAGATGCAGGAAAAAGAGTCCATGAAAGTGGGCTAAGGACCAGGAAAGGTGGGGACCAGCATGAGGAAAGACCCTGAGACAGGAATCACCTGCTCCTACCAGACACCAGACCTCAGCTCCACCCACCACAAGGAGACTCCACCCCCCCGCCTGTAATAAGGACCCCCAAGTGCCCTGTGGGGTGGTGTCAGACAACACCAATGGGCACTACAGCTTTCACCCCACTCTCACCCCCATGGAGTCAGCAGAGACCCCAGGGAGGCCTAGACTTTTGTCCCCAAAGCCTACAGGAGGCCAGGCCTCTTACCCCATGGGCATCCAGGAGGCCACAGGGGGAACTAGACTCCCATCCTTGCCTGGCACCAGGAAGGAGCACTGAGTGGGAAATTTATAGTGTTAGATGCATTTGAGAGTGCCCGCACCCCTCCATGCTGGGGACATCACAGGAGGCCAAGCAGAGAGTGCAGGCTTCTATCCACTCAGCAATAACGAGAATGTCCCAACCCAGGGGCATCCAGAGGCCACGGGAGGAACTGGACTCCCATCCTTGCCTGGCAACAAGAAGGAGCCCCCACCCAGCCCATCCTCCCTCAGGTGTCACAAAGGCTGAGTGGGAACCTGGACTTCCACCCCACCTGGCTGCAGCAAGGTGCACACCCCACATGGCCTGCTGGAGCTGTGCCAGCCAAAACAGGATGCCGAAGTAAGGTCCAGTCTCATTACATCATACCCAAAATGCTTGCATTTCACTAAAAAAAAGTCCCTCAGCATCTTAAACCACAAAGATCTCAACTAAAAGACAATTAATAGACACCAACACTAAGACAACAGGGATGGTAGAATTATTCAAGAAAGATCTTAAACCAGCCACCATAAAAATGATTCCGTGAATAACAAACATGCTGGAAACAAATGGAAAAAAAAAAACAAAAAACAAACACAGTCTCAGCAAAGAGACAAGAGAAAAATAAAAAAAGAATAGAACTGAAAAATACAATAAACAAAAATTTAAAACTTGATGAATCATCTCAACAACAAAAAGAAGAGGTAGAGAAAAGAATCAGTGAACGGGAGTTAGAATAATAGAAATCATCCAATCTGAACAAAAGAAAAAGAGTGAAAAAAAATGAACAATGCCTCATTCCTTGTGGAACTGCATAACAAAGATCTAACATTTGTGACATGAGGGCTCTAAAAAAAAGGCATGTGGGGAGGGGGAAAGGAGCTGGTTTAAAAAAGCACTTCAGAGGGTAACGGCTGGAAACTTCCCAAACTTGGTGAGACATACACTGCAGATTCACGAGGCTTAGTGAACCCTAAATAGAAAACCCAAACAAAACCACACCAACACACACCATATTTAAACTTCTATAAGCTAAAGATAAAAATAAAAGAAAAAATGTTGGAAGTGGCCAGAGGAAAATGACTCCTTCTGGGCAAACAATTTGAATGACAGTGATTTGTCATCATAAATCCTGAAAGCTATGAGAAGAGGAACCACATTTCTTACAACAACAACAAAATACTGTCTACTGCTAAAACAACAACAACAACAACAAAATACTGTCTACCCAACATCCTATATCCAGTGAAAACATCCTTTGAGAATAAAAAAGAAATCAAGACACTCTCAAAGAAAAACAAAGAGAAGAATTTGTAACCAGCAGAAGATCTACCTAAAATAATGGCGCACACACACACACACACACACACACACACACACAAAATTCTCTAAACAGAAAGGAAATTACTAAAGAAGAAAGGAATCTTGAAATAACAGGAAAGAGGAAACACCATAATAGGTAACATTATGTGTAAATAAAACAGACTCCTTCCTGAGTTTTCTGAAATACGTTTGATGATTAATGCAAAAATTACAACATTATCTTATGTGGCAATAAAAGTATGTAGAGAAACTATTTCAGATAATTGTACTATATAGTGGGAGATGACAAAGTGACATAAAGGAAGACAAAGTTTCTATACTTCGCTCAACCTGGTAATGTAATACATAAAGCAACCACAATAGCTATACTAAGTGCATTCAAAAACACAATAGGTAAACCAAACAAAATTGTAAGGTTTTGTGCAAGTAACCCACTGGAAGCTGTAAAAAAAGGAAACAGAAACTAAAAACAGAGAATAAATGAAAAATTAAAAACGAAATGGCAGACTTAAGCCCTAATATAAAAATTACCATATTAAATATAAATGGTCTACATACACCAAATGTAAGACAGAGATTAGTAAAGTAGATTTAAAAACATGACTCAACTACATGCTGTCTACAAGAAACTCACTTCATATATACCAAGATAGGAAGGATGAAAGTAAAACAATGAAAAAAGAGGTATCATGCAAACATTAATCAAAGAAAAGCAGGAGTGGCTACATTAACATCAGCTAACGTAAACTTCAGAGGCAAAAAAAAAAAAAAAAAACCAGAGGCAGAGACAGACATTATATAATCCCACCATTACATAATTGACAAGAGGGTCAGTCCACCCAGACAAATTACAATCCCAAACGTGTATGCAACAAACAAAAGAGCTGCCAATATGTGACCTAAAAACATGACAGAACTGAAAGGAGAAACACATCCACAATTATACTTGGGAGACTTTAATACCCCTCTCTCAATGATAATAAAAGTAGACAGAAAATCTACAAGAATTGAGATGAAATCAATACCATCAGCCAATAAGGTCTGATCAGCATTTACAGAACCCTCCACCCAAAAAGCAGAATATACATTGTTTCCAAGTGTCCACGGTATACTAAAACAGATAATATTCTGGGTCTTAAAACAAATCTTAACAAATTTGTAAGGACTTAAATAATATAGAATGTGTTTTCTGATCACAATAGAATCAAAAGAAAATAATAATGAAATATAGCAAGAAAATCTCAAAACACTTGGAAATTAAACAACAAAACTTGAAATAATAGTCAAAAAAACACTGAAATAAGTGAAAATGAACACACAGCCTATTAAAATTTGTGGGATGCAACTAAAGCAGCACTGAGTGGCAAATTTATAGTGTTAGATGTATAAATTTTTCCAATCAATATATCACCTCAAGAACCCAGAAAAAGAAGAGCAAAATAAATCTAAAGCAAACAGAGGGAAGGAATTAATAAAAGTTCCAGCCAGTACAGTAAGTCAAGGAAAAGAAATAAAAGATATACAGATCAGAAAGGAAGAAATATGTAAATATATTTTATTTCATAGAAGATATCTTTTATTTAATAGAATATTTGCATATTTCTTTCTTTCTGATCTGCATATCTTTTACAATATAATTATCTACATAGAAAATCTCAAGGAATTTCAAAAACAAAGACCAAAAAATGGAAAATCCTCCTAGAACTAATAGGTAAGCTCAGCAAAATTGCAAGCTACAAGATAAACACACAAAAATTAACTGTATTTCTATACACTAGCAATAAACACATATACACTGTTATGGACTGAATTGTGAACCCATCCCCCAATTCGTATGTTGAAGCCCTAACCCACAATGTCACTGCATTTGAAGACAGGGCCTTTAAAAAGACAACTAAGGTTAAATGGGGTCAAAAGGATGGGGTCTTACTCCAACCTGACTGGGTGTCCTTGTAAGAAGACAGAGATACCAGGGAAGAACATACACAGAAAAAACACCATATGAAGACAAAGGGAGAAGATGCCAACTGTAAGCCAAGGAGAGGGGCATCAGGAAACACAACCTGCCAACACTTTATCTCAAACTTCCAGCCTCTGGAACTGTGAGAGAATATATTTCTGTTGCTTATGTCACCCAGTTTGTGATACTTTGTTATGGCAGTCCAAACAGGCTAATGCAGATAACAAATTTCAAAATATGGTTTGATTCACTTAAAAAAAAATATATATATATATATATATATACCAAAAATATGCACAGTACTCATATGCTAAAAACTACAAAATGCTGAAAGAAATCAAAGATCTAAATAAACTGAAAGATATACCATGTTCATGGATTGAAAAACAACATAGTAAACATGTCAATTCTCCCAAAATTGATATATTGGCTTAATTGCAACTCCTAACAAAATCTGAGCAAGAGTTTTTGTAGATACAAACAAGATTACTCTAAAATGTATATGGAAAGGCAAAGAAACTTTAATAGTGGAAACAATTCTAAATCAAAAGAAGTTGGAGCAATCAGTCTATCCAATAAACACTGTTACCGACTGAATCGTGAACCCATCCTCCAATTCACATGTTGAAGCCCTAACCCACAATGTCACTGCATTTGAAGGTAGGGACTTTAAAAAGGTAATTAAGGTTAAATGAGGTCAGAAGGATGGAGTCTTACTCCAACCTGACTGGGTGTGCTTATAAGAAGACAGAGATACCAGGGAGGAACATACACAGAAAAAACTTGCCATAAAGCTTCCAATCTCAAAACTTGCCGTAAAGCTTCCATAACCAAGACAGTGTAATATTGGTACAAGAGTAAACACACAGTTCAATAGAACAGAATTTTAAAAAACATGAACAGACTCACATACATATGCTCAACTTTTGACAAAGGTGCAAAAGCAATTCAATGGGGAGAGCTAAGTCTTTTCCACAAATGATGCTGGAATACACACAAGCCAAAAAAAAGTGGCCTCAACCTAAACTTCACACCTTATACAAAAATTAACTCAAAGCAGATCAAAGACTTAAATACGAAACTTTAAAAAAGAAATCTGGGGAAAATCTTCTGAATTTACAGAATCTCTGAAGAGATTCTGTAAAAGGAAAAACTGTCAAATCAGACCTCACGGGAGTTAAAAAACACTTGTTCTGTAAAAGACCACATTAAGTAGATGAAACCACAAGCTAGAGTTGGGGAAAAAATTGCAAACTGTACATATCCAACAAAGAACCAATATCTGGAATAAACAATGCTTAAAACTCAAGAGTATAAAAATGAACAATCCAATGAGAAAATGGGCAGAAGACATGAAGAAACATGCAAATGGAAAGTAAGGACATAAAAGATTTTCAACATCCTTATCCACCAGGGAAATGCAAATTAGAACACAAGGAAATATCACTACATCTACCCCAATGACTAAAATAAAAAATAGTGGCAACTTGAAACGCTGAAGATGTTGCGACTGGATCTCTCAAAGACTGCTGGTGGCAGGTGGTGATATAAAATGGTCCAACAGCCTTGGAAAGTGGGAAGCTTCTTAAGAAACAGGCAACTACCTTGTGACCCAGCTCTTGCACTTCTGGGCATGTATCCCAGAGAAACGAAAATCTAGATTCACACAAAAACCTACAAAAGAATGTCTGTAGCAGCTTTATTTGTAATACCCCAAAACTGGAAACAAGTCTTTCAATGGTGAATAGTCAAATCAAGTGTGGAATGTCTACACCCTGGAACACCACTCAACAGCAGGAAGGAATCAGCTAGTGCCACAGTAACAGTCTGAATGAGTGCTCAGAGAACAATGCTGAGTAAAAAGCGCCAAGCCCTAATGCATGACTGTGTTTATGCAACACGCCTGAAACAGCAAAATCACACACGCCGAGAAGAGAGTAGTGGTTGCCAGGGACTGAAGAGAAGGTGAGGCTGGGAACAGGGTGGGCGTGGCCTCAAAGAGCATCGTGAGGGATAGAACGTTCTGGATCCTGACTGTACGGCTGTAATGTGCATGCTGGCTGTGATGTGCTACAGAACCGTGAGATGTGAGCAGCAGGGCGCCTGCGTGCGGGGTACCTGGATCTCCCTGTATTATTTATTAAACAGCATATGAATATCAGATTACCAAATATAAAGCTTACTTTAAAAACCAGGTGAACCCAGGCGAGCTCCAGGCCTGGCTGCTCCCCATGCTCCATCACAGCTCCCACCCATCTCCAGACTCTATGCCACCAAGCCCGACTCCCAGCCCCGCTGTTCTCTGCGTGCAGGAGGAAGGAGTGAACACCCAGCACCCAGGCATAGGCGGGGGCAAGACGGGCTGGCGCCACCCTCCTCTAGGCCAAACAGCGTGTCTAGCCAAGAGCAAAATGCCCACGAGTTACTTTTTAGCCCGGAAATCAAAGCAGCCGGAAAAAAGTCTGTGTGTTTTTTTCCCATGTGACAAGAGGCCACCAGGAACCACGGGCCAGAACCTGCCTCTGCCTCCCCATGGCCTCCACGGCTGCACCACCACGTGGGAGGGACCGGGACCAGGACCAGCTGAGGAAGGGGCTTCCTTGTAACTAGCCCTCTGGGGAAGAACGGCTCCACCCCCTGCACCAAACCCCCATGGGCCCTTGGAAGCCCACTTCAAGGGGTCTCCTCCATAGGGCAGCTTCGGGGGGCACAGGGTCCCTAAAGGGTCCTTTAGCGTCTGCCCCTCGCTGAACAACAGGCTATCACAGAAGGATGGAGGTGGGGGGCACGGTAGTGGGGGTCAGACAGCACCCAGAGGCAGGTCAAAAGCCAGGCCCAGCCCGCCTGGGGCCACACAGGGCCCTCGGAGTCTCTCTAGGACAGGCCCTCCTTGCCCATACACGCTGGCAGCCACTGCTGTCTAGGGGCAGAGGTAACTCAGGGCTCCAAGAATGAGGAGGGCCTCTTCCCGGATGCTGGGGCCCCTCCAGGGCCAGCTAGACTGTGGCCAGCACCCCCATCCCAGGACCATGCAGGCAACAGAGACCTTCCGGGCCTCTCTTCTACAGACCCTAGAACAGCCCAGCCACCATCCACCCAGGCTGTGTCCGCCAGGCTGGACCTGGCCCTGATCACCTTCCGGCCTCAGAGGCTCACCCGTCTGAGGGTTCACACCAGCGTCGGGGGTAGTGCCCCCAGAGGTACAACAGGGCCGCAAGGCCTGCCAGTGTGGACAGGCCCTAATGACACTGGGTCTGAAGGATGCACTTCCACAAACAACCAACAGCCATCCTCACCTAAAGGCATTTACAAGCCGAAGGGGCTGCCTGCTACTGCCCGGGCCTCACTCGAAGCTCTGGAGTCACTGAGGCTGAACAGACGGGGCGTCCTTGGAGGATCAGGGCCAACCCTGACAGCCCTCCTGCCCAGCAAGACCTGGGCCCCAGGTGGACAAAGCCCTTGTCCCACCTGCCAAGGACATCTGTCCAGCGGCAGGCTGGGGGGCAGTCCCGAGGAGCCCGCAGGGCCTCTCCCACCGCGCCCACCGTGGCTGATTTCAGCTCACTCAGAGACCCTGCCTTGGCCGGGACCGTCAGGAGTTAAAAGCGTGTTTTCCAGCTCTTCTCAGAAGCAGCCAAAGCCAGCCTGTGGCGGGAAGCGGGAGGCTGCCACTGAGCCCTGTGCTCCAGCACTGCTGAGAGCCTCCGCTCAGCTCTCCTGAAGAGAACAAGGCTCACGTGGCCTCTAGCCAGGGCTCAAGGACACCATGTTCCAGCAGCCACAGGCAGAGAGCGGAGACCAGGTCCGCCACGGCGAGCAGAGGCTCCGTCGCTCCCACGGAGGCTCAGGACCCGCGGACACTCCCGCCCACAACAGACAGTGGATCCCTGCTGGGGCCTCTCTCACTTCCTGCTCTCGCTGGCCGGTGTGTCCCCCGGGAAGCCCCAGGCCCACATGCTACGCCCCCAGCCCACAGTGGCCTCTATGTCAGGTGGGCACCAGGAGGCCCTGACAGCGTCCCCACAAGTAGCTTCCGTCCCCGAGGACACGCCTGAAACCGGCTCACCTGCTGGCGGACGGGGAGGCCCAGGCCCCGGATGTCTGAGACGATGAAGGTGATGACGGTCTTGACAATGGTGGCAAAGAATGTGTTGACCCCGAAGACCAGGGCACAGAGTTCTTTAGACAGAGAAACCGCAATCTGAAAGCTGAACAAGAAGAGCGACGGTCAGGCACTGCCGGGAGAACCAGATGCAGCAAGGGGAAAGCCCGCAGCCCAGCTCCTACCACCCACGACCCACTGGGCAGCCACGGGGCCCCAGGCACGCACAAGCCCCCACCAGACCCCCATCTCCCCCCCACATGCCCTCCCCCACCAGGCAGGAGCCAGCACCCAGGCTGCCCACCCTTGAGGAGCCACTCTGGGAGCTGCTGCATTCCCCGGCTCGGTACAGGGAGAGGGTCCCTTATCCAAAATGCCCAGACTAGAAGTTTGGGATGTTGGAATACCTGCATATCCGTAATGAGGTATCCTGAGGATTGGACCCTAGTCTAAACATGAAATTCATTTATGTCTCATACATACTGTATCCACACATCCGGAAGGTGATTTTATACAATATTCTCAGTAATTTTGTGCATGAAGAAACTTTTGACTGTGTTCTGACTGAGACTCATGGATCAAGGTCAGGTGAGAGACTTTCCACTGGGCTGTCCTTTCAGTGCTCAAAAACTGTCAGCTTTTGGAGTATTTCAAATTCTGATTTTTTTTTTTTTTGAGACAGTCTCGGTCTGTTGCCCAGGCTGGAGGGCAATGGCACAATCTCAGCTCACTGCAACCTCCGCCTCCCGGGTTCAAGCAATTCTCCTGTCTCAGCCTCCCGAATAGCTGGAATTACAAGCATGCAACACCATGCCCAGATAATTTTTGTATTTTTAGTAGAGACGTGGTTTCACCACGTTGGCCATGCTGGTCTCGAACTCCTGGCCTCAGGGGATCTGCCTGCCTCAGCCTCCCAAAGTGTTGGGATTACAGGCATGAGTCACTGCGCCTGGCCGAATTCTGGATTTTTTAAATTGGGGATGCTGAAACTGTACAATGGGTGCCACAAAACACAAATTCAAGAAGATGCCCAGAAGGGCTCCCTGAGCGCTGGGACAGACCAGGTTACAGCCATCTCAAAACGCTCAGAAAGTCATCCTCAAGGGAATCTCTGGGCACAGACAGAAAAGTCTGGAACGAAAGTCTTTCATGATTAAATGTTTGATAAATTCGGGGAAGCGCAGTGAAATCAGAGTCGGTGGGGGAGCAGCCAGGCAGCTGGGTGGGGCAGGCCAAGGAGGCAGGGCGGGCCCTGGAGGTGAATGGCAGCTGGGTAGAGTGAGCTCTGGAGATGAGTGGCAGCTGGGTAGGGCGGGCCTGGAGGTGAGTGGCAGCCGGGCAGAGTGGGCCCTGGAGCTGAGTGGCAGTTGGGTAGGGCGGGCTCTGGGGTGAGTGGCAGCTGGTTAGGGTAGGCCAAGGAGGCAGGGCGGGCCCTGGAGGTGAGCGGCAGCTGGGTAGGGCGGGCCCTGAAGTGAGTGGCAGCTGGTTAGGGCAGGCCAGGGAGGCAGGTGGGCCCTGGAGGTGAGTGGCAGCTGGGTAGGGCGGGCCCTGGAGGCAGGGTAGGGCGGGTCCTGAGGGTGAGTGGCAGCCAGGTAGGGCGGGCCCTAAAGGTGGGCGGTGGCGTGCACATGTCCAGGAATGAAGGCGCCACATTCCTCACATGGAGAGGTGACAGGCCAGGCTTCTGGTGCTCTGCAAACAAACTGGTCTTTGGATGCAGTTCCAATTAAAATCCACAAAGTGCTTAAAAAAAAAAAAAAAAAAAAAAAACTGGACAAAAAATGTCCTAAAGTTCACCTTAAGAAAAAATAAACAAAAATGCCAGAAAGCCTTCAGAGAAGGATGGAGGTCCCTGTGCTGCTGGGCGGTGGAGGCAGCGTGCCAGCAGAGACAGTAGAGACGCGGGCGAGCGGGTGGCAGGGAGAATGAGAAACACACAGAGGGCCGGGGGAGCAGGTCAGCAGGACAAAGGGCACCCAAACACCAGGAGAACCAGCACAAACATGAGCTTCTGGACGCTACTGCCAGGCAGGGCAGAACGCAGGCCAGCCCCCAGGGTGCTTCCAAGGGTGCTCAGAAAACACCATGAGTGGAATTAAAGGCAAACAACTGTGGGGCGTGACGGGGGCACACGTGACTGAAAATACGTGATACAGATGAGGGCACTCCAGATCAGAAGGGAGGAAAGCGAGTCCCAGCAGTCAGGAGACACAGTGGCCACTCGGTCCACAGCAGGATAGGATAGTAGGCCTTGCTCTGGTTAAGGAAAGGCTGGGAGTCCAGCTTCCCGTCGGGGCTGAGGGGTGGGGGAGGCCATCCACCATCCTGACCGGGAGGAAGCCCGCATGCAGGCCTGCAGGGCACCTGCAATATTGACAGAAACCTTTCAAAAGCACATACTCTCCAGCCTGGCCATTTCCCTTCCAGGAATCCACTTGCGGACCATTATTAGAACTTGTGAGGCTGAGGGCAGATCACGAGGTCAGGAGCTCGAGACCTACCTGGCCAGTCTGGTGAAACCCTGTCTCTACTAAAAAAATACAAAAAATTAGCCGGGCATGGTGGCGTGCACCTGTAATCCCAGCTACTTCCTTGGGAGTCTGAAGCAGGATAATTGCTTGAACCCAGGAGGCAGAGGTTGCAGTGAGCTGAGACTGCGCCACTACACTCTAGCCTGGGAGACAGAGTGAGACTCCATCTCAAAAAAAAAAAAAAAAAAGAATTTAGAAAGAAAAATGTAGGTAGAAGGATATTCATCTCAGTGTTTTTCTATTGTAAGAAAAATGGAAATGGTGATTTTAGCCATCCACTAGGGGTGGGTTGTGAGGCCTACCACTCGTGACCAGCAGCGACCACCTATGTGTGTGTCTGACACCGACCCAACACAGATGAGCAAAAAATGCCGGATTCCTGGGAGCAAATGGCGGTTTTCCGCTCTGTACACTGCTACCCAGTGCCCGAGGTTTTGTGACGGGCACCAATGGCTTTATAACGAAAACCCTTCAGGCGTGGTCCCCCTGGACACAGCAACGGGATAGCAGAGGCCTGGCCCTTCCCACAGTGCTGGCAAGTCAGGGAGGGGCCCGAGCAAGATGGCTGTCACAGGCTGGGGGCAGCAAGAGCCCAGGGCGGGCCTTGGGGAGCGTGAAGCAGGCGGCCACCCCGGAGCATGCAGAAGGGCCCCCAGGCATGGCAGGGAAGGAGAGAAGGGTGAGCTGGGTTGCCCACGCCAGGAGCTGCCTGCGTGTGGGGAGGATGGGGCAGCGCAGGGCCGGGAACGTCCAGGCAGGACGGTGAGGGGTCCGGCCACGGGCACAGAGGGTACAACGTAAGGGCCGGGAGGGCACTCTAGTTCAGACAGACTTGTGGCAGCGTCAGCCCCAGGGGGACGGTCCATGGGGTGAGGGGGGCAGGGCCTGAAGGCCACTCGGGAGGTGAAGCCCAGGGTCCTCCCAGGAGGCAGGAAAGAGGGAACAGGTCAGGGAGGCAGGGGCTGGTGTGGGTGGGCAGGGTCAGTGTCTGAGTGTGCCAATGTGTGTGGTCTGAGCATGTGGTGACAGTGTGCCAATGTGTGGGTACGTTCATGCCGTGTGAGCATGTGGTGTGTCCATGCATGTGTTCATGTGTGGTGTGTGTCTATCTGTGAGCGTGTGCTGTGTGTTCATGTCTGAGTGGTATGTCCATGTGTGAACATGCAGTGTGTGTCCATGTGTGAGCGTTTGTGTGTCTGTGTGGTGTGAGTGCCTGGTGTGGGTGTGAGCTGAGCATGAACTCACACAGGTGTCCACTCTCCCTCCTGCCTGGGTGGGCTCTCAGCAGCCTGGGACCTGGAGGGCTGGGCTGGGTGCAGGGCAAGACTGTGAGCCCGGCAGGCTTCAGAGAGGAGCACAGGCGGGCAGGCGGAGGGACTGGGAGAGGGGCAGGACGGCACTGGCAGGGTGCCAGGGAGACGTAGGGGTGACCCTGGTCAGCGCCAGGTGGCTGGGGCCCGCAGTGATTCAGCCGCTGGGGCGCGGCAGGAGGTGGGAGCACCCGGGAAGCGCCTGCCCACCCCGGCTCTCCAGAGCCTTCTGGAACTCACGTGGCGATGGGCACGAGGAACTGGTAGGAGCCGCGGAAAAGCACGAAGGCCGCGTAGCACAGCCAGATGTGGCGCGTGTGCGACAGAAAGAAGACCAGCCCCGCCTGCGTGACCGTGACGCCCGCGATGAGCAGCTTAGACCATCGCGCCCAGCGGATCTTCACGAAGCCCGCGGCGAAGGACGTGATGGCACCTGGGGGGTGAGGGGTGGGGCGTCACCTGGGGGGACATGGGGCAGGGAAAGGTGGGGGGGGCAGCGGAAGGAGCCGCGGGGCAGGGGAGGTGGGGGAGCCTCCGGGAAGGAGCTGCGGTGGGGGCGGGGGGGGGGTGCCCGGACCCGGGCGCACGTACCCAGCAGCGTGGAGGCGGCGTCGGCCGCGCCGTTGTAGACCCGCGCGCTGTTGGTGGTGGGGTCCACCTCGTTCCACAGGATGTGCACGTAGTAGACGACCAGGTAGTACCCGGCGGAGTTGAAGACCCACCAGAGGGACCAGAGGCGCAGCTGCGGCCGCCGCAGGCTGACCCCCAGCTCCCGCAGCATGCGCGCCAGCACCGAGTCCGCGCAAGCCGCCCGCAGCGCGCGCCCCAGCTTCCCGCCTGCGCCGGGGTTCATGCGCTCCAGCTCCGAGGCGGAGGCCGAGGGTTCACGGCCCGCGGTGCCGCGGTTGAAGAAGAGGCTGCGCTTGGGGCGCTTGAGGAAGAGGGCGAGGACCACGCTGAAGGTGAGGAAGGCCAGCGAGATGTAGTTGAGCGTGGAGAAGGAGACCCCGCCGGCGGTGACCAGCAGCTGGCCCAGCACCGAGCTGCTGAAGACGCCCAGCAGCACCGCGGCGCGGGAGTAGCTGGCCACACGCTGGTAGCGCGCGGGCTGCACCAGCGAGAAGATGTAGGAGGAGTAGGCGATGCGCGCGGCCATGGTGACGCTGTAGAAGAGCTCCATGAGCTGCATGTGCGCCACGGAGCGGCCCAGCAGCAGCAGCAGCCACACCGACACGTAGCTCAGGCCCTGCAGTAGCAGCACCGGCGTGTAGCGTAGGTAGTCGGTGAGCAGGAACATGGGCACCAGCACGGCCAGGTAGGAGTAGGGCAGCACCGGCGTGATCTCGTTGGTGACCTATGGACGGGCGAGCGTGCGCCCCACCGGGCGTCAGCGACTGCGCGGCTTCGGGGGACGTGGCCCTCCCGAGGCCATCGCTGCTGACCGCTTCACTGCCTGAGGTGACCCCACCCCGCAACGCTCCTCGGTCCCTCGCTTTCTGATCCGTCTCCGCAGCCTGGGAGCATTTGCCTGCAGAAAGCTGGCAGTGGCCACGGAAGTCATCGTTATTAACAACACTGTTGATCTAAGCTTCTCTGGTTTTTGTTTTGTTTTGTTTTGTTTTTTTCCTGAGAGGAAGTCTCACTCTATAGCACAGGCTGGAGTGCAGTGGCTTGATCTCATCTTACTACAACCTATGGCTCCCGGGTTCAAGCAATTCTCTCCTGCCTCAGCCTCCCAAGTAGCTGGGATTACAGGCATGCGCCACCACACCAGGCTAATTTTTGTATTTTTAGTAGAGATGGGGTTTCACCATGTTGGCCAGGCTGGTCTCGAACTCCTGACCTCAAGTGATCCACCCACCTTAGCCTCCCCAAGTGCTGGGATTACAGGCGACAGCCACCACGCCGGGCCAGCCTCTCTATTTTTAATAGAATAAAAACATGTTTTCGTTTCATCTTAATACAGAAACCAGAGCTGTAACCCATACACATTCACTTCAACACAAGCTCCTTCCATCATCACTGTAGAGAGGCACAAACAGAAGACACAGAGAGGAAGGGCAGGACCAGGAAGGGCAGGTTCATGGGAGGGACTGTGGGGAACCCAGCAGAGGGAGAAAGACAGGAGTGAAGAAGGGCGAAGAGAGGGAACAGGCGTGGGGAAGGGCCAAGGGCCCTGGGGTGCGCACTCCCATACCACGCTTGTCCCCAGAGCAAGGTCTTCAAGGCCAGGCTCTAACCCAGGGGCAGGGAGGGGGTCAAGTGCCCCTGGAGCCACCCTGTACCCACCTCGGAGAGGCAGGACAGCCTGTCAGCCCGCCCAGCCCTGCCTCCCCCGTCATGTTATGTGGGAATCCAGCTCCACAGCCTTGGCCGCTGAGCTGCCAGTGGGCACTCCAGGCCTGGCTTCCATGTCTGTGGCCTCAACACACAACCACCTTCCCTGGGAACTTGGGGCTGGGCATGGGGCAGGGGTGCTGTCTCCTGCAGGACCAGCTCAGTAGGCACTGCCCCAGACTCTCCTCCAGGCAGGTAGCAAATGCCCTCAGCTGGCTTGGCAAGGGCTGGGGCTGCTGTGGGCACACCTGGGCACAGTCCAGAGGAAGAGGCCCCAGTCCTGTGAGGCCCAAGCCGCTGGCCCTGCCCCTCCCTGGGGACTGATGTGGGAGCCACCCTGTGCTTGGAGCCTCCCTGGGGCCCAGGTGCATTTTCAGCAGGTGGCCCCGCCCAGGGGCCCCATCAGACCCCACCTCTGATCTGCTGGGGGTTGGCACCAGGTGAGCCAGCAGGGCCTCCCTGGACTCTGGGCCTCCCACAGGCCCCACTCAACTCAGGCCTGACCACCAGCAACCCCACAGCCCTGTTCCTGCTGCCTCAGGTGACCTCTGCCCCTGCCAGCCACACTTGACAGGACCGAACCTGGGGTCAGCACTGGGGGCTGCCCAAGCCACACCCCCCCCAACCCAGGGCCTCTCAGCCTTGTGCGGCCCACCCAAATGTGTGGCCTGATGTGCTCAGGGCTTGGCCACCGGTGACTGTGAACAGCTGGGGAACAGGACCCTGTAGCCAGGCTTGTCGGTCAGGGCCAGCATGCTGAGAAGCTTCCAAGGGGTTTGGGGGAAGTCTACCCAGAGACCCCACCTGAGGCCACCCTGAGGTCACAGCCCGGAGCCTGCCCCAAAGGCTGTGGTCCCAGCAGCACTGAGCACCCAAGGTCCCTGCCGTGCTCCGTCCTACCCAGGACATGCCAGGACACACTCAATGCAGGTCAGGCACTGGGAGGCTGAGTGACCAGGCCGGGTCACGGGGAGCCTCAGGGCCAGCCACCAGCTGCTACACTGTGTTTACAGCAAAGCCCTGGGGACATCAAAGAGCCCCTCTGTAGGCAGGCTCTCCTGGCCGACTGGGGAGGCTTCTCATCAGGGCCAGCCCAGAGAACTTCTGCAGAGTCCGAAAGAAGAGGCTCGGAGGCAGGGGCCCTCCTAGCACCTCAGGAACTGCAGACACAGGAGGCGGCGAGGGGCCCTGGGAACCCCAGCCCCCGGCCAGGGCACGGGTCCCGCCCACAGCCCAGAGTTAAAATGGTAGACAGCCAGCAGAGGCTCCCCCAGAGCCCACCGCTCTCTGGAAAAGGGCGGCCGGGAGTCCTAGGAGCCTCTCCCACCTCTGAATGAATGGAGCACACCTCATTTCTCTTCCACCAGGAGCCGGCTCTGCAGGCCGGGGCCTCCCCAGGTACCTCCTGGTCTTTGTTGAGGCTCCCAGGGCAGTGCTCCCCCTTAGCAGAGCATGGGGTCGAGATGGAGCCTGAACACCCCCCAGCACCCAGCCAGGGCCCTCCCACCCCGTCCCTGTGCCGCCTGAGTGGTCCCGACTTTCCCTTCCTCACACTTGGCAGGTGTACAGCAGGGAGGCTCTGCTGGAGCTCTGACCTGCGTCCCACTTACAAGGCTGCGGGGGAGGGCCACCCACAAAGGTCCCAGCAGGGAGGTGGCGTGTGTCAGGCGGCCATGGCTCCCACATGAGTACAGGCTCCTGCGGCCTGAGCCCAGCGTCTGCCCCGCTCTCCAGAGCTCTCGGGTCAGGTCCAGGCTGACGGGCAGAGTGCAGGCAGCTGCGCCCAGATCGACACCTGGGCGGCTTCAGGGCAGCTTCTCTGAACAGGGAGGCGGCATGGTGGGCAAGGCCCGAAGGCAGGCAGGCAGGACGCGGGGGCAGGGCCAGGTGTGGGGCAGCGGAAGGACCGGCTGCCACAGAAGGGCACCCAACAGGGACTGGCCGAGGTCGAGTCATCGGCCGTGGGTGGAGAAGGGCTGCTGCGCACAGGGCCGTGGCCCTCCTCCCTGGAGGAGGGCGGGGGCTGCAGCTCCCACCACACAGCACAGTTCCGCGGCGGCCCAGGCGACCTCAAGCCACCCAGGAGCACCTCACAGACCCGGCCGGGGAAAGCACTCTCAGCTCACGCTCAAAGCAGAAAGCCTGGAGGGGAATGTGGCCAAATTCAAAATGGCTCTAGAGAAACACCGTATGTAACACACGGCCAGTCCAATCCCAAGGGCACTGGGTCCCCAGGAGGCGGGAAAGGGTACCAGGCTCAAGAAGGACAGCAACCGCGGGGCTGCCGGGAAACACCGGCCCACAGCGGGCGACACGGAGACCAAGCAAAGGAGACCACACTCCTCACAGCGGCCAGACCGCGGCGCTCCGCAGCCCACCTGAGCTGGCGAGGGCCACACGGGCAACCTGCGGCGGGCTGTGGAGGAAGCAGTCGCCCAGGAGTGCGCTGGGTCAAGGCCCACCGCCTGAGGCTGCCCGCTAGTGCTCTACCCGCAGCGTTCCGCGAAGTCGGAGAAGCCGGAATCCCCCATCACCCCCAGCAAACCGCCAGAGAAGCACCTTGCACTTCCACCCCCAGGCGCAGCTTAAGAACCGCCCTGAACCTGCGTGGAGCCTCCCTCGAGTCAGATTGGGAAGGAGGGCGGCTTGCGAAAGCTGAGTCACAAGACAGCACTTAGGTGAACTTTCTAAACACCAGCCCGCAACAGGGGTTGCAGGTCCTAACAGGCTGGGCCTCTCCGGCAGCCAGAGGGGCTGAGATCTTAAGCCGGGCTGAGATCGGGGGCCCTGCCGGGTGGCAGGTGTGCAGAGCACCCACCCAATGACATCCCAGGCCTGGAGGAATGGCATACTTTCTGGAATCTGCTTTTCAATCAGTTACTGTGCAACGTGAGAGGGCAGCAGACGGGATTTAAACATTTCGCTGTAGAGACTTTTCTTATTTTCAGGGAAACGCCACACATATGCTCATCTTTATAAATAACCTTGAACAATGGCCCTCCTTAAGAGCAGAGATGCCATCTGGTCCGTCAGTGGGTGGCGGGGGGAGGGGCAGACTGGCCAGGAGCAGAGGGCACTTCATAAAGGGTCAAGGAGGCGGCCCCACCCCCAGCACCAGCCCCACCACCGACAGCTAGAGACCCTGGCCTCACTGGGAAGGTGACCTGGCCACCCGGCTCTGGCGGTCAGCAGTGCCGGCCGTGGGAGCAGACACCATCACACTCACCCGGTGCTCTGAGCCGGGCACCGGGAGGGCAGCACCCCCACTCCTCCCAGGGTATACTCCTCATCTGCACGTCAGTGTCACAGTTCTAGGGTCTGCGAGGGGCGGGGCCTGGCTTACGGCTGAGAGGCGCAGGGAACGAGGGGCACACGGAGTGCCAGCAATGTGGGAGCAGAGGCCAGGTGGCCACACCACCGAGGACAGGGACAGTGGCTGGGGCGGGCAGGTGAGTGGGCCCCAAACAGGTTCACGGGCAGCACATGGGCCCTGAGATGGGTGCAGGGGTGACCAGCTGGGTTGGCAGCCTGTGAGCACGCTTTTCCCACAAAGGCTTCCAGGCTCCTGTGTAGACGTGCCTACGGACCATGTGGCCAGCTCCTGCCTCCACCCTTCACATGGCCTGAGAGGCCCGTGATGGGGCATAAGTTTATTACAACAGTTTCAATAAGAGCCTTTGTCCTCATGGCTGAGTAAAATGAGCAGAAGGAAAATTCCTTCAATAATCTTTGTAGGTAAATAGCCACTAACCCTCTGCAGGGGGAGGTGCCCAGCAGGGCTGGATGTAGGCTTCCTCATGTGCCCGTCCCTCTCTGCAGGACACAGCATCACTTGTTATGTAGCCTGGTTACTAAGCCCCTCTACCGGACGGTGCCCGCTGTGGGGAGTGAGACCCCAGCCAGGTTCCCTCTGGGACCACTATCAGCTGACACGGCCACTCTCCCACTCCAGCCTCAGAGCTCACACCTCCAACAGGAAAAGCACCCTGGCCCCTGAAGCTGCTCCCTGCCCACCCACCACTGGCCGCCCCCGCGCCCCTGTGTCCACGTGCCTGCTTCCGAGTGAAGTTCTTGTCCGGCCCCAGGAGGTAGGGTGTGATGAAGCTCTCTCCGGGCCGGATCTGCGCCATGAAGCCGTAGAAGCAGAGGTAGCACACCAGGCGCCGCCAGGACCGGAGCTCGAGGTCAGGCCCGGGCTCCATGGGCACCTGCTTCTCCACTGCTGGGTTGGAGGGCACCATCCTGCTCAGGCCACGGGCAGCCCTGGAGGGGTCGAAGGTGACGCTCTGTGTGGAAGGAGAGCGGAGTCAGGGGAGGTTGAGAAAATGGCCTGCAGGCCTCCCGCCCCGAGAAACCAGGCCCAGTGCAGGCCTGCTCCTCGCCACTCAGGACCAAACACCACCCTGGAGGCGAACGCACACCCCAGATCCCTCCTCACCCTGCAGCACCAACCTGGGAGCTACCCCAGCCTGAGCTGCTCCAGAGTGCCCCAGGCCAGGCCGTCACCACCTCTAGGGTCTCCGAGGCTGATCGAAGTCTCCAGCCACAAGGAGCAATTTAAATGCCAATCAAAATCAAGTTAATTAACTGATGACTTATTGCATTAACTAACAAAATTTAAATTTCAGGGCTTGGGGCCACAACAGACTCATGGCACTGCTGGGCAGCACGTGTGACCGTGGAGGGCAGGCACACCTCACCCCACAGGCCAGAGGGCAGCCCACATACCTGCTGCTCTAACAGCACCCAGGTGGCCCCGGGAGGGCACAGGCAGGGACAGATGCTGCCAGAGGCCAGGGACACACCTGGCCACACCCCGGGCGGGTGGCAACAGGTACAAGCCTCAGGTCCCCTTCAGCCTGGGGTCCGATCCTGCACATGAGCATGGGGAACACAGCCCCCCATGCCCCGGAGGAGGGCGCGCAGGCAAAGCCCACAGTAAGGAAAGGGCAGAGGGAGAAGCAGGTATCCTCAAGGGGGCTGAGGGCACCCAGGGGTGAAACACCCGTGGGAGAGGGGAGGCCCGGCCCCTGAGCCTAGGGACCCGGCATTCCTGGAGGCAGGTTACCCTAGACAGAAGCAGCTGGCCGGAGCCATGAGCGGACCTGACACATTCCAGATGGAGCATCCAGATCGTGGGCCTTCATCCACGAGGCAACATGCCTCCAGCCAGCACTCTGCCCCACACGGCCGGGCCCAGCTGGTGCCCCCGCCCCATGTGGCAGGGTGCAGCCGGCACTCCGCCCACACGGCCAGGGCACGTCAGAGCAGCCACAAGAGGGCGTGTCTCCTTCAGTCCTGATTCTGCCCAGGAGAAAGGCCCCCCAGTGCGGGAAAGAGTGTGTCTCACCACCACAATCCTCCCTTCCAGCTGCAGGCAGGAGCCTGTCCACTTAGCATCGTGGCTCCAGTGCTGCTGGTTTTCCACGTAAAGTCGTGGTGAAAAGTTCTCTTTCAAGTCAATCAAAACTGAGCCACCATAAACAAGTGTTTCGGGTGCTCACACCAAGCCAACCCAGTGAGAACAGGGCCCACCCTTGTCCCCCGTGGGTGCACCTCACATTGTATCAGCAGAGTTGCTTGTGGACGCAGCCCGTGCAGAGGGCAGCTGGGCAGCCGTGTGGAGCAGGGTTGCCGTCCCGTCAGCGCTGGGCTGACACAGTTGGACAGTTGCCCCTCGCCACAGGGCCTGCCTGGGAGGGGGTCTGCAGAGGGTCTGGATTCGGGGAGAGTCTCCTCCAACCTCCCAGCAGGGGAACAGAGCATCCTGGATGTGGGGCTGGTTTTGGGGGTTCAGGGACCCTGAAGAAATGCTGCCCCAGGTTCTCAGCACTCAGCTCTGGTTATCAGAAACCACTCAGGCTGGCAGTGCTCCTGGAAGGGCCCCCAACCTGACACAAAGGCTTAGGAAAGGCGTGGAGAGGGGGAGGAAGACCCTCCCACGCCACGCCAGGCAAAGCCACTGGCATCGTCCCGGGCCCTGTCTTCACGCCTCTGCACACTCATGTCTGTGATGAAGGGACATGGGAAGTGGTGGCAGGGAAGCGGTAAGAGGCAGGGGCTGATGGGCTGGCCGTGGGAGCCACAGGGAGGTGGGGGAAGGGCTGGGGACCACGAGGCTTCCGGAGCACCTGGGAGGGCATGGCTGGGAAGATGATGGGACCGGCACTCTCCATTGGAGGCAGCTCGGACCCTAGTTCTTAAAGGGCCAGAATGAAAACAGCCGGCCAGGCAGGATAAAGCACAGGCAGGGGCCACCTCGAGGCCAAGGCAGGTCTCACGGTCGCCTTCCAGGCCTCCCCAGGGCTTGGGAAGATCAGCACACAAAGGTTCAGCTCCGTCACCAGGAACCCTGATGCCCAGAGAGGCCACAGGTGGAGCTGGACTCACCTGGGACCATACCTACTCCTCCCCAACCCTCCCCACCCAGAGACCCATCCAGTCCCGGGCCTCCCCATCAAGTTCACTCCCCACAACCCCTGTCAGCAGGTTTAAACAGGTGCTCTGATCCTGGGACACCCAGAGCACCCACATCATCACAGCCAACAGGGACTCATCAGGAGCTGAACTGAGTCCAGGGTCTGTGCCCAGAGTCCATGGCCCCAGAAGTCAGGATTCTGCCCACAGGACCCCCAGGAGCCCTGGGGAACTTGGGCTCCCTGTTCTGAAAGACGCCACCTCCAGAGGTGACCGGAACATTCCTTCCTTGGTGTCAGGAATTGGCTACATGGCAGGGCGAGCACTTCCACATCCTGGACTCCTGAGTTCCTGGACACCAGCTCAGGGCGAGCACTTTCACATCCTGGACTCCAGAGGCTTCTGAAACCCGAAGGCAGCACTTCCTAACCAGGGGTGAGAGCGCATCAGGCCCTGCATCCCAGCGCCCAGCTGCAATTACACACCGCGGCCCAGGACTTTACCCTTCAACAAATCCCACAGGTGAGCCGGGGACTCGCCACACCTGGAGAGGCTGCTCTCAGGATTCCCGGTGTTGTGAGAAGTTCTGTGTGAAATCCACTGTGACCAGTCCTAGCTCAGTGGCCCACCCCAGCCCACACTCAGACAGGACCGTGCTCTCCCCAGCACCTCCCCAGGCCAGCTCGAAGGGACCAGGGAGGTGGGCAGCCTGGAGCCCTCCGGGACAATGATACACAGCTGGAGCTTCACTTCCCAGAAATCAAATGCCAGGCTCCACCCCAGGTGAGGGCCAGGGGGCCATGACACACACGGTTGGCCTAGGGAGCACAGGGACAGGGCTGGCTGCAGGGCTGGGTCAGGCCTGTTTGGTGGCATCCTCAAAGCTGCCTCCTGAGAGAGCTCCTATGAGCCCCACCCCTGCCATGTGTGGACGCTGTGCAGTGTCTGGAAGCCCAGTGGCAGGTGGCAGGCCAGCCAGGGCCCTGGGCCACCCTGTTCTTGAACAACACGATTGCTAAGGACTAAGGGACCAGGTGTGTCTCCAAAAGCTCACTCAGCCCTGGGCTCCACCCTGGGACCCGGGAGGGTAGTGCCTCCCACCTGAGTCCCCACAGGCGCCTGCTTAGCAAAGCCAGCAGACCCGAGTCCTGGCTGGGGTCTCCATGGAAATGCTGGGCAGGCCCTCCCAGCAGGGTAGCCATGGGCACAGGGGAGCACCAGGGCCATGCAAGGCGGAACTCCCTGCTCCTCAACCCGGGGCCAAGGGGCGCCCATCCTGGACAAAGGCTGCCAGTCTGTCCCAAGAGGGCCTTTACTCCTACATCCCACAGGGCCGGTCCCGTGACCCACTCACACCAGAAGGAGGCAGAAACACCAGGGAGAGCAGGCGTCAGACAGTGCCAGACGCCCCAGGCTCCCCAATCCCACCACCACCTTCACTTCCACTTGAGACCAAGGGTTCTAAAACCCGGCCTCTCCCATCAGCACAAGGCCCTCTCCAGTGCCCTCAGGGTGGGACATAGTCCGGGACCCCCTCCAGGAACCCCTCCTGCTGAGAGTTCCGCCTGCAGCGGCACCCAGGGTGAAGCAGGGGGCAGGCAGCCTCTGGCCATGGTGAGGGCTGTGGCAGGCCAACCACGCAGGGCAGACGGTGCCCGCTTCTGTCTGAACCAAGGGACCCAGGGATGTCAGGCCTGCTCCACTCTGGCACAGGTGTCCTTCCTGTATATTGCCCACACTTCCACAGAACTGAAGAAGACTCCCAGAAACCCTGAAGTCAGGCCTGGGGCTGCCCACTGAAGCACCAACAGGCCGGTGACGGCACAGCAGTGAGGTGGGCCAGAGCAGGTGCCCGGGCTCTTCCCAGGAGCTCTGGCTGCCATGCAGGAACAGGGGCCAGAAGTCCCGGGTCTTATTTGAAATCCATTTTTAATGGCAGCCACTAACAGAAAAAATGCTGAATGCCACAGACCCAAAGAAACTCATTAAAGGCACACAGCAGGTTGCAACCCCAAGGCAGGGGTGGCCTCAAGCCCTGTTTACTCTGCAGCCTGCAGAAGAAAAGGCCAGGGCAGTCCCTCCCCAGCCACAGCCCGGGCTGCGGCCTGAGGATCAAAGACAGCCGGAGTTTCAGCCAGCGAGGAGGAGCTGCTGGTCTTAACGGTCAGCCTCTGCTGCCAGCATGCTGGCCTTACGCGCGGTGAACGCAGCACACCGACAGGCACTCAGCTAGCAAGGCCGACTCACGCCATCATAGAAATCCAGCCCCAAGCCAGGGGAAGCCTAGACACCAAGCATCCGGCCCCGTCCCATACCACTTGAGGCCTCTTCCTGGCAACTGAAGGAGGTCCCCAGCCAGACAGGAGGGCCACGGGGAAGCAAGGAGAATCCCCGCCTTCAGGAGAAGGTTGTAGCAGCCCCGCCGTCCCCAGTGACCACCCTGCCCACGTTCTGCTCTTCCAAGCATGTGAGAAGGCTGGAGATTTGCAATCGAAACAAAGGCAAAAGCCACCCGTCATTCTGTGTTTAAACCAGCTCCTACTCTGGAAGGCTAACCAGGAGTGTTTGTTACGTTTTTAGAATGCCTGCTAGTTAAAAAAAGGAAAAAGAAGAAGAAAGAAGAAGCAGAAAGCATCATACAACCTCCCAACCCCGCTGAGATGAGCAAGCTCAGGGTTCCTAAGAACACAGTTAGACCCTCTGGCGGTCACTGCTGCGGGCCCAAACACCCCAGAAGCACAGTGTCTCATCTTTGTCCAGCACAGATAACTCGAACATCTGGAACTATAAAAATCCACCAAAGCCCCTTCAGAAGGAAAGTGATTAGCAATTGCAGCAAGCAGTGCACAGGTGGCCCCCAGTGAAGGCGGCCAGTGAGATGCAGCCTGGCTCCAGCAGGCAGGTGCCCTGGGCCAGAGGGGCCTGGGCTCTGCTGACTGAATCTGTGCTGGATCCTCAGGTCTCCTTAGGAAGAGGCCACCTCAGTCAGCAGGCGTCCCCAGGGCTCTGGATGCTTCTGCATTTCAGGGCCAGCTTAAATTTCAGCCTGTGTCTTGGGGCCAGGCAGCTCAGACTCCCCAGGACAAGCGTTTCGGATGGACAGGACCCTCGGGATGGGTTTCCTGCTGTAGAGGTGCTGGAAGGACCTGCTCAGGAAAGGCTCCCACAGCGGCTGTCCAGGCGCTGAGAGCCTCAGGTTCACTCCACTCCGCTGGATCTGCGCACACAGGTGCTCCAAGGGAAAGCTGCACCCACGACGCTTCTGGCACAGGAGACAATGGGCCTGGAGGAGTGCCAGGGGCCCGCCCCGCGCGTGGCTAGCAGGGTTCTCCCGCCGGCTGGCCCGTCCCGAAGCAGCACGTGCCTGGGCTCCAACGCCGGATCCACGCGTTCCTCCAGACCCGGGGGTGGAACTCGGCGCCCCCGGATGACGCGCAGGGCAGGCTGGGGGCGGGACTCAGCACCCATGGGCGGACTGGGGCGGAAAGTCAGCGGCGCGAAACCCGCTGCACTATGGCAGGCGCCCGGCACGCAGCGCGCGGAGACCCCGGCCCGAGCCCCGCACGGTCCCCAGGAACCCCCGACCCCAGACTGCAGACCCCGGGCGCCGCACCCTCCCCGGAGCCCCGCAGAGCCTGGCCCGCGGCTCGCTCCCAGCGCAGGGCCCCCCGGGCACCCCGCAGCCCCCGGCACTCACCTCAGGGTCCCACAGTCCCCGACATGCGGCCAGGCGGCCCCGAGCCCCACAAGTACACGCGGCTCGGCGGGCGCGGCCTGGGGCTCCGGGGACCCCGCGCAGGCGGCCTCGGGACTACAGCGCCCACAGGGCGGCTCGGCGCGCGGCGGCGGGAGGGGCGGGGCCCCGCTGAACGCGCCCCGGGGCGGGGCCAGGCGGGAGCGAACCCACGGCGCGGGCGCGGGCGCGCGCGTCCCGGAGCCGGCCTCCCCGCGCTTCCCACGCCCCGGTCCCGGCCCGCGCCGAAATCTGCCGCCCGCTCCGCACCTGGGTCGCGCGGCCCCTCGTGCTGCCACCCCGCCCCCCGCGCCGCCCCCGACCCCGATCGCCGCTCGGGCCCCACCCGCGTCGGCGCCAGCATCCCGGGGCGCCACGCGCGGAGGTGTGGGTCCCGCCGCGGGCGCCCCGCCTTCCCTCTCCCCACCGCCAGCCCCTCCTGACCCCCACTCCCAGCCCACCTCCCGAGGAGGCCTGGAGCGTTTTCCTTTTGGCACCCTTACACACCTGCATTCCCAGCGGGCCGCATGCCGGATCCGGGACGCGGGCCTGGCCCACGCGCCCTCAGGGGTGGCCCCGGGCATCCTTCGTGGGGCTCCAGCAGGGACACGCATAGCCCAGAGCCCGGCGCCCCCAGGACCCCCGCTGCCCGCCCTCCTGTCTGACCGTGACCCTCACTGGCTGGTACCAAGGAGCAAGCGGGATCCAGGACGCGGCCCGCGGCCACCAGCAGGGAGAGCCGTGGGAGAACCGCGCGGGCCTCGCAGGTGGGGACGGTGGCGCAGTCGCGCTCAGGAAGCTGTGGGGCTGCAGCAGACAGCGCCGCCCCAGGCCTGTGCAGGACACGTTGGGGGGGGGGCGTGGGGGTGCGCACAGGGTCACTCTGCCCTGGACGTTATCCAGGGCCTGGCTATGGGGAGGAAGGCAAAGCCGAGGGCTGTGGGGGGCCCCACGGCCAAGGAGGTGCTTGAAAGCCAGCTGCACAGAACAGAAGGAGGCGGCCACCATGGGATCCACAGCCCAGGGCTCCGGGTACCTGGTGAGCTGTGGGCCTCCGGAAGCAGCCCCTCGAATGCACCCCTTCCCGAGTGTAGACAGCACAGATGTACACAGTCCGAGATCTGTCTCTCCTGCCCACCAGCCCCCGCCCAGGCCCCGCTGGAAGCCGGCACAGGATTAAATGGCTCCCTGCCCAAAGCCCCAACCTGGCCCGATTTTGGGAGTCCTGTATGCAGCAAGCCACACGAACAAATTTCTAAGGAACTTAAAAAGGATTTGTTGGCTCAAAAGCGGGGATCTGGGGTAGCTTGCAGAATCTAAGGGAGCACTGCAGGACGGGGCGTCTTGCCTGGAGGGACTCCTGCTTCCGGGGAGCCTCCCAGCTCTCTCTCCAGTACTGCCATTTTCCACGGGTGGGCAGAGCCTGGCCCTGCTGGAAGACAGGAGGGTCATCGCCAAGGAGGAGGGGTCCTTCCTTCCCTCCAGGCAGAGAGGAGCCCGCTCCATGAGACAGGCCAGGAAGCTGAGGGGAAGAAGGGATGAACAGCAGTGGGGGTCCCAGCCTGCTTCCCACAGAAGGATGGCTCCCACCCCCTTCCTACCTGGAGACAGGAAGGCAGGGAGCCACAGCCCCAAGCGGGTCCCGCAGGACATGCAGACACCAGTTCCTCACCTGTCTCTCCAGCCAGGTGGAGCCCAGCGAATCCGCCCCTGCCTGCGGGAGGGGCCTGCCCAAGCCGCCCTCTGGTCCCCTGCGAGGCAGGAGTCCCGGGATTTCCCAGCTACACGAGGCCCCGGTTTCCTGTAGGAGCTGGTGCGGGTGGGGAGGTGAGGCCTGGCCACCAGTAGCACCTGGCAGTTGTAATCTGGAGGCAGCTGCTCTGAGGGAAGAGCCAGGAGACTCCCGAAGATCTTACAGAAACCTCCATCGAGGTCTGGGCACACCAGGGCATAGGCTTCAGGAGGGTTCCACCCAAAACAGAGACTTACAAAAGTAGGTGGCTTGGGGGTGACCCTGGCATCTGGGAAGGGACCCTGTGGTTGGGGCCTCACGAGCCTCCTGCAATCCCAGTTCTGCATTCCATCATCTGTCAGACAGTTACGTGCCTGAGTGTCAGGGGTGGGGAGAGCTGGTCGGTGGGTGAAGCCCTGGACTGGAGGGGTCAGCAGGGGCCCAGCAGCACGGATCCCAGCCCTCCAGCCTGTAGGCTCCAGCCATGTATGCCCACAGTGATGTCTGGGGGCTACAGGCCACAGAGACCCCTTCGCCTCCTGGAGGGCCTCAGGTGTGCTCTACAGCCCACCCCACAGCAGTGCCCCAGCCCCAGCTCCTGGGCCCACACCCACCAGCAGAGCCTGAGCACTCGCAGATAAATCTCGGCCAGAGAACGAGGACCTTACCCACCCACTGCCACCTGAGACCAGCCTGCCAGTGTCCTTTGCCTTGGCTAGAGAAACAGTGCTGTCCCTGTGGTTAAGGTCCCCTGTCAGCATCAGGAAGGCAGTGGCATTCACACAGCCTCTTCCCTCAGCTGGTGCTGTGTGGCTGCTGTGGCTCTGGAAGCAAGGCTTGGACCAAATGCTAACGCATGGATACAGATGCACACAGACACACAGGTCCACACACATGCACACAGACATGCACACAGATGCACACAGACACACGGGTCCACACACGTGCACACAGACACAGGTGCACACATGTGCACACAGACTTGCACACAGATGCACACAGACACATGGGTCCACACACGTGCACACAGACACACAGGTCCGCACACGTGCACACAGACTTGCACACAGATGCACACAGACACACGGGTCCACACACATGCACACAGACGTGCACACAGAAACACAGGTCCACGCAGATGCACACAGATGTGCACACAGACACACAGGTCCACACATGTGCACACAGCTGTGCACACGGACACATGGGTCCACACACGTGCACACAAATACACAGGTCCACATAGGTGCACACAGACACACAGGTCCACGTAGATACACACAGACACACAGGTCCACATACATGCACACAGACACAGATGCACACACACAGGTCCATGCAGATGCACACTGATGTGCACACAGACACATGCATACACGTGCAGAGATGCACAGATATGCACGCACACAGGTGCACACGGATAAATGCATACCCGCGCAGACACACGTACAGATGCACACAGACACACAGCTCCATGCAGACACAGGCACACATGCAGAGATGCACAAAGATGCACACACACACAGGTGCACATGACGAATGCACACATGTGCAGAGACACACAGATCCATGCAGACGTGCAAAGACATGCACACAGACATATGTACAGAGATGCGCACAGACGCACGCACACACGCTGGTATGGTTTGAATTCTTTGTCCCCTCCAGATCTCACGTTGGACTGTGGGGCCTGCTGGGAGGGGTTGGATCATGAGGGCAGGTCCCTCATGAATGGCTTAGCACCATCCCCTTGGTGATGAGTAAGTTCTTGTTCAGTTAGTTCACTTGAGAGCTGGTTGTTTGAGTCTTGGACCTCCGCCTTCCCTTCCTTCCTCCCGCTCTTACTCTGTGATGCTGGCTCCCCATCGCCTTCCACCATGAGTGGAAGCATCCTGAAGCCTCACCAGGAGCAGATGCTGGCACCATGCTTCCTGTACAGCTTGCAGGGCCGTGAGCCAATTAAACCTCTTTTCTTCATAATACCCAATCTCTTTATTTCTTTATAGCAACACAAAAACAGCTCCCCGCCCCCCCGACACATACATACAGACGCCACGAGGACATATGCACAGGTATAGAGACACACGCATGCTCACATGCACATGGCACCTCATGTGCAGGAAGATGGGAGTGGGCCGGCATGCCCCGCCCTGCCACGTGCCATGAACTGGCCTGTGCACTGCCTCTCAGCCACGCTTCCAGGCGGCACCACCTGACCAAGGCACATCTGTGTCCCCCAGGCTTCCCTTGCTGAATGGCAAGTGCTTTTGCTGCCACTGGACCAGCGCAGTACAGGTGCAGCGCGCCCTGGTAAACGCATTGCCTCTCTTGCTGGCCAGTGGGTCTCTGCTGCAGCTGCCCCTCTCTCCACCCCTTCCCGCTGGCCTGTGCCTCCCATTTCCCGAAGCTGACCTCCTAACACTGCCAGTGGCCAGGGGTGGCCCCCCACAAAGGCCCAGGTGCCCAAAGGTCTGGAGAAGGGGGACTGATGTGGATGCCCCTCCGCCGGGCCTCCCACCACCAGCCATGGCCCAGGCCTGCCTACAGCTGCCACCCCTATCCTCTGGGAGGCTGAGCTGGCCACCATCCTCCACACCTTCTCTGTGAGGCTGGAGCCCTGTGGCGTCTGAGCAGAGAAGCAAAGCCGACAGGAAGAAGTGCTGCCCTGTCCTGTGTGAGACCCTCACAGCCTGCCAGCAGTGGGGCTAGCCCGGACCTGTGCCTGCCCCACCCCTTCCCTGGAAGTGTGTCCCGCCTGGTCCTCTGGGAGTGGAGTGGAATCCCAGCCCCACTGGGGCACCAGACAGTGGCTACAGCAGGCCCAGCAGCAAAACAGTGGGTCTTGATGCCCCCACGTCTCCCTGCAGCCAGACTTTCACAAAATCATGCTTAAATAGCCCATCTTACCGGGGAAAGGGGGAGGCTTGAAATTCTTTGAAATTACCAAGCAGTTGTTTAGAATCATGTCATCTAAAAAGAGAGTGTTTAAAAAACATTAACCAGTGGGAATCTGGCCAGCGCACAGTGGAACTGGAACCCTCCCCTGCCTGGTCCTCATTTCCAGAACTTGGAGGTGATCACCAACCCTTGTGCCCACAGGCGGAGTGACGGCTGGCTACAGGAACGTCCTGGGTTGGAGGAGGTCTGCCTGGAGCCCACAATCGCCAGCGTGGGTCCTGGTTGCAGGCAGCTGCGTGAGAAGCCTCCACGAGGCGCTGCCCTCAGTGGTGAGAGACCAGGGGAAGAAAAGGAAGACACAGCAGTGAGGAAGGAAGGGCAGGGTCTACTCACAGACGACATGGCTGTCAGGGCAGAAAATCCTGATAGGTTTATCAAAAATACTAGACATAATTTGGGAATTTAGCAAGGTCATGAGATACCAAGTCTATATACAAAAATAATTGGAAGACAAAATTTGAAAAACAGCATTTACAATGCCACTGAAAATCAGAAAACACCTGAGAATTCATTTAACAAAAAATGTGCAAGTTCTCTGTACTGAAAGCTGCAAGACCCAAATGAAAAGGTAATACTGTCAAACTTGTGACCTGTGTCCAGTGAGTGACACAGGAAGTAAACAAAATGTCAGGCCACAGCTGGGAAGAAACATTCATATTCCTTGTACCTGATGCAGGACTTGAATCCAGACACCTAAGTGACCCTTACAACTGAGTAATAAGAATATATCAGCCCACTTCTTAAAGTACACAAAAGAGGCTGAGGCAGGTGGATCACGTGAGGTCAGGAGTTCAGGATCAGCCTGGCCAACATGGTGAAACCCCACCAGTACTAAAAATACAAAAATTAGCTTGTTGTGGTGGCGGGTGCCTGTAGTCCCAGCTACTCTGGAGGCTGAGGCAGGAGAATTGCGTGAATCTGGGAGGTGGAGGTTGCAGTGAGCTGAGGTCTTGCCATGGTGCTCAAGCCTGGGTGGCAGAGTAAGACTCTGTCTCAAAAATAAATAAATAAATATATGCAAAACATTTGAATACTTAAGAAAGATATACAAACAACTAATAAGATGTGAAAACACACGTAACATGATAAATATCATATTCCTTTGTCATCCAAGCCTGA